TAGATAGATAGATAGATAGATAGATAGATAGATAGATAGATAGATAGATATAAAACTTGTATTGGAAGAGAGGGCTAGAAGTCCAGCTCCATTTCCAAATTAAAAATTTCAACGCTTCATCTATACTAATAACTCCATGTTCTAAACATCTTTCTGAACCCTGCTGTGTTACTGGCTGTGAACTGTGCTGCTGGCTTTGACTAGAGGAAGAAGGGATAGGGTAGCAATGAAGGTAATGGAAAAGAGAGACCAACAAAGGAAAGTAGTAGAAAGTGGAAAATAATGGGGGAATGAGATACAGACAGTCAAGGTCTTCAAGAAAACCATCAAAATGAAGTATTACAGTTAAGTGTTGAAGAGTTAACAACCACAAAAATGCTGTAAAGATTGGGGGAATTCATGGAATCAGGACTTTAGTGCTCACCTGCTATATATAAACTTTACGTGGCTCCTAACAAGGTAAGTCAGTATACCTCTCGAATAGTCATCATAAGCATGAGTTCATGAGCTAGACTTTGGTTAGCATTTGCTACTTTCAATGAGCAAAGTACTTTCCTGTGTGTCAATTACTAATCTGAAAAAAATAAGACCAGTACGTACCGCGAAGGTTGGTTTTAAGGACTTCATTTTATACAGACATTACACTTACAACAGTATCTGGTACATAATAAATCATTGAAGTCTCTCTCTCTCTCTCTCTCTCTCTCTCTCTCTCTCTCTCTCTGTCTCTCATGTGTGCGTGCACGCATGCGCGCGCGCACACACACACACACACACACACACACACACACAAATCTAAAGTACCTATTAGACTTGATCAGAGATGTAGAGTAGGCACTGACACTGGCACACACACACACAACTAGTATGCAGACCAGGGGAAAGGCATGGCCTAGAGATGTCCATCTGGAAGTCATCAGTGTATATATATATATACATATATATATATATATATATATATATATATATATATATATATATATACAGTACTTAAAACCATGGCAGCATTCTATTGGCTCAGGTTTGAAGTAATCCTTATCTTAAATCATGTATCTGGTAATTCAATTTTTAAACAAATATATACTATAGTACCTTCTGAACCTTTATTCTATTTTTAGGAATTATATCTGATCCTGTTTTTTAAAACATAATTTTTCAAAGATTTATTTATTTATTATGTATACAGTGTTCTGTCTGTCTGTATGCTTGCTGGCCAGAAGAGGGCACCAGATCTCATTACAGATGGCTGTGAGCCACCACGTGGTTGCTGGGAGTTGAACTCAGAACCTCTGGAAGACCAGTCAGTGCTCTTAACCTCTGAGCCATCTCTCCAGCCCCCGATACTTTGGCTACAGATTAATTCACTTACTCATTTGACAAATATTTACCATGTGTAATTTTTCTAGCCATTAAGAATCCAAAAGTCAATATAATTTCTTTCTTTTTTGTTTTGTTTTGTTTTGTTTTTCGAGACAAGGTTTCTCTGTATAACAGCTTTGGCTGTCCTAGAACTCACTTTAGACCAGGCTGACCTCGAATTCATAGAGATCCACCTGCCTCTGCCTCCAGAGGGATAGGATTAAAGGTGTGCATCAGCACACCTACCAATTCCTTTCTTTACAGACATTATAGCCTGAGCATAAATGTGGATGTTAGTTGAATGGTCACACAAATACAATATAAAGTTATAAACTGGGATACAGTGTAAGAAATTATAACAAGTTATAAATTATAAAGTTAATGAAATTAGGAGAGAGGAAATTACTTAAATTTTTTATTAAGGGATGTAAGTAATAATTAAAGAAGAGGCTATGAATGGGGGACACAGGAGAAGCCAGAGTTGGGGGAAGGAGGAGTGGGAGTCATGTAGATACCTTTTCATGCACTAAGGTCTCAAAAACAAATTTAAAAACTACCAAATGCAAATTACTAAAATGATAGCAAAACAAACAAACAAGAAGAAACTACTATACAACTACTAGAAGCTGTCAAAGCAAGGACACCATCAAATCCAGGAAGGATGGAGAGCAGAAGCAACTCTTACTCATTGCTGCTGGGGATGCAGAACTGCACAGCCACTATAGAAGACAGTTTGACAACTTCTTGTATGATTAGACATTCTCATACCACTCTTCAATCGTGATTCTTGGTATTTGCATATGCAAACTGAAAGATTACTCCTATACAAAACTCTACACACAAATATTTACCACCCTTTTTATTGCCCAAACTTGAAATAACAAAATGTCCTTTAGTAGGTGAATGGATATACTGTTGTACACGGAGGAAACAGAGTATTAGTAAACACTTTTAAAGGTTTGGATCTTAACGGCTGCCCCACTAAGGACCCCATGTTGAGGGATTGGTCCTTGGCTGACGGTACCACTGGGATGTAGTGAGAAATGATGAGGTAGAGCCTAATTGCCAGAAATAGGTCACTGGAGGTACATCCTTGAAGGCTATATTGGTACACAGGTCCCTTCATCGCTTTTTCCCCGCTTCCTGGCTACTACAAAGCAGATAGCTTTCTTCTGTCCCTGCTTCCTGCCACAATGGGCCTCATCACAGCACCAAAAACATGGTCATTTCACCTAACTGAGCTGAGACTTCTCCAATCATGAACCAAAATTAACCTCTCCCCCTTTAGGTTTCTCTAGTATTCTGTCACAGTGGCTTATGCTGTCTAATGTAGCACTAAACCAAAAAGAGATATACAGCCATCAAAAGTTCTAGAACAGGGACAAAGAGATGGATCAGTGGTTAAGGGCACTTGTTGCTCTTGCAGACTACACAGGTTCAAATCCCAGCACCCACATGGCAGCTAACAATCATTGGAAACTCCAGTTCTGGGGATCCAACACCCTTTCTTGACTTCCAAGGAACACTGGTGGTACACAGACATACAGTGCAGGCAAAACATGCATGCACACAAAATAAAAATAAATCTCTAAAAGACACAGAGGACAATTAAAGGAACATCACTAAGTTAAAGGAGCCCATGTGAAAGGCTACTGTATGATTCCAATTATGATACTCTGGAAAAGGCGTTACCATGGAGACAGTAAAATTCGTGGTGGTTGCCAAGGGCTTGGAGGATTTTTAGGGCAATAAAACCATTCTTTATGATTCTCTAATGGCAGATATATGTTGTTAAACACTTGTCAAGATGTATAAGGCCTTATCCACATGGTAACATCCCCTCGTGCTTTGGCTCAGCTTAAATGTCAACTCCACTCTGAAGCTTTGGCAGAGCCTCTACGTAAAGCTCTTTCTCCTCCATCTTCCTGCAGCTCTTTGATCGTCCCTCTCATAGTACTTAGAGCCAACTATTATTGCTTACTCTCTAGCCAGTTTCTACTCTAACGTGAGCTTAAAAACCAGAGATAGGCTCATTCTTCATATCCCCAGCATCCAGGAAGTTAAGGACATATAACATTTGGATAAACACATGAGCAGATGATTATGAAGACCTTAACTCAGACCACAGGGCTATATTGTAAACCGTGGTAAGCATTTTATCTGTGGAACCTTCCAAATGATCCACTTGCTTACTTGTTTCACATTCTGGAAAGAACCACTGCCCTGATGTTTAGAAGCAGGTGGCATCATGTGGACAAATTTGTGTTTTAAGAATCCCATCTCAGGCCGGGAGGTGGTGGTGCCGCCTTTAATCCCAGCACTTGGGAGGCAGAGGCAGCTCCCATAAATGTGTTGTAAGAGTCCAGTCTCAATTTCACAGTCACTTTCTGTGTTTCAGTTTCTAGAAAAGGCAACTTAGAGTTAGGAAAGAAGAGAGTAAATGAAGACAAAGTCAGAATGATTCAGCCAATAAATAGTTTAATGAGAACCAAGGTCTACAACATCCATCGCAGGACCTGTGCTGGTAGCCTTCTGCTGGAACCTGTCTGGGGATAGCCAACTGCATTTAACCCACGTTCGAAAAGAAGGCCCTTTTGAATGTCACCCATCAGTATCCATCTTCACAGAAGACACCAATCTGGGGTCACACTCTCAATGTGAATACTTCCTCTTAGGGAAGAGGTGACACAGATGCATGAACGACCGTAAGTCATCCTCCTACTCTTCAATAAGAGGACCCTCCGGAGACCACTGGTTCTGTAAACGCATACGCCTTTGTCAAAATACATTAGGAACACAAAGGAGAACAGTAGAAAGGGCGGTAGTGCTGGGCTCATGGATTTTCAGTTCTTAGATCTGAAGCCTCTTGAGCTGCTCGTATGTAATAAAAAACTGAAAAGTGAGTCATGGAAGATTTCTGAGTTGATACTGAAATTTAAACCCATTCTGCCAATTGTGCATTGCATTTTCTTAAATTAATGTACTTTGACTAAAGGAGGTTCGTTTCAAAGACTTTTCTTAAGATGAAATGTGTTGGGCCAGGCAGTGGTGGTACACACCCTTAATCCTAGCACTTGGAAGGCAGAGGCAGGCAGATCTCTGTGAGTTCAGGACCAGCCTGGTGTACAGAGTGAGTTCCAGGACAGATTGGACTGTTACACAGAGAAACCCTGTCTTGAAAAATCAGAAAAAAAGATAAAATGTGTTGATTGCCTACTATTTTCCATTATGATCAATAGCACTGAGCAATGAAAATGATTATAATACAGTTATAGTTTTCAAAAGCAAATAGAACAAACACAACACAATACAACACACAATTCCAAAAAGAGAAAGAGATGTACTCTCTGCTCAGTCTACAGATTCTAGAAGGGTAGGGAATTACTTTTCAACCCTGCCAAGCTCACAAGTACACACATAGCACCACACACAGTATCCAGCGCATGGCTCTTTCCAGACAAGGCACTAAAGAATGACTGAAGGAGAGAAATGCACCCACGATAATAGAGTCCTACTTGGCTACGGTTTTTTTCACTTTACGAATGCTTTGTGTCCTGCTAGCATTTTCCAGCTATTTGGGTCTCACAAATATTTGGGTCTCACAAAAGCATGAAGTTTCCTGTGTGCATCTTCTATTGGTGTTGCTAAATTTTGTTTTATTAGATTTATTTGCTTACTTATTTGTGTATTTGCTGGGGAGGGCATGTGCCTTCCAGAGTGTGTACATGAAGTTCACAGGAAAACTAGCTGTGCTTGATATTTTGTTGCATTACATTTATTTGCTTATTTGTTTGCTTGTTTGCTGGGGAGGGTATGTTCCTGCCACAGTGTGTGTGTGTGAGAGTGTGTGTGTGTGTTTAGAGTTCAGAGGACAACTTACAGGAGCAAATTCTCTTCTTTCACCGTAAGTCCCAGAGATTAAACTCAGGTCATCAGGTATGGAGGTGAGCACCTTTACACACTGAGCCATCTTAGACATTTTGATTTAAAGAGGCACATCTGGCACATTTTTTTCTGTCCATTTAAGTGTGTATTTGCCTCCAAGGGAAAGTTGTTTCTCTACTTGGTTCCATTCACACTGGTCTTCAATGGGTTGCTTGAGTTTCTTATTTGCCTATAAATGATGTAATAATCAAAATTATCTCCCCATAACCTAGAATTACCTGGGACTTTGAAGCACTGGCTTGCATTCTCAATTTCTAAAAGGATACAATGATGTTCCAGGGTCCGAGTCGAAGCCAGTTTGGCCAAAATCCTTTATAGAGGGCAAAAAACCCCTCATGTTTCCACATCTGAGGTAAAAACATAACCAAAATAGTGAATTTCCTTTTCTTATTACATTTGACAACCATTTTCCATGCCCACTCCCAGCAACTTTGGCTAGTATGAATGGTCTCTTTTCTGAAGATATACCTCATAGTCTAAATAATTTGAATCTAAATCCATCAAACCATTATTCGATATTTATTTCCTGAGTACCCAACATATACAACACATACTTCTTAACTCTGGGAATATGACTGTAAATAAGAGCTGGGCATGGCAGCACATGCCTATAATCTTAGCACTCTGGAAGCAGAGAAAGTAAATCAGGAGTTCGATGCTATCCTTAGCTATATAGTGAATTTGGGACTAGCCTCGGTCCCTACATGAGACCCTGTCTCGAAACACCCTATTAAATGTAGTGGGTCACAAACAAATAAAAACAATTAGAAATAGGAGTTGTTGGGTATTATAAGGGAATTTTGAGGGAGCGGCACAGAAATAAGAGAGGATAATGCAGGATAATCGATTCAAGTACATTATATGAACATGTGAAATGAAATTGCGAGGAACAGTAACTTCTCAGGCAGTATGTCTGCAGTAACTAGAAATAGCTACATAAAGTGACAGCACACCTAAAGAACCCTGCCCTATCCCTGTCATCCATGTCCTTGTGCAGCTCTCATATCATATCAGGACTGTTGAACAGAGCAGAAATTAACACTGCTAGATTATAAAAAAAACATTTGATATATAATGAGGTGTCTATCGCCTCCTTTCTTGAATTATTCACTCTGACGGAGACCAGCTGTCATACCATGAAGCGAGGCCTACATCATAGGGAGCTGAAGCATTTAACTAACATCAATGAGTCACCTTTGAAGGAGATATGCTAGCCCCACTCAAGCCTTGATGATGACTGAAGTCTTGGCTGACGTACGGCCTCTTAAGAGGTCTCACTCTCGAATCACTCAACAAGGCTGCTTCTTAATTCATGATCCCCGAAAACTGGAAAAGAATTCTGTACTTTTAAGACCCTGAGTTTTAGAGTAATTTGTTACACAGCTGTACATAGCTTATACAGTCTGTGCCCCTACTGAATGTATACTCTAGTGTAGCAAGCAAGTACACACATTGTTTAGATAGATAGATAGACAGACAGACAGACAGACAGACAGATAGATAGATAGATGATGGATAGATGGACAGATATTGGTAGATATTATTATATTGATAAATATTGTATCCAGAAATAATAGATGAAGAAAACACCAAGGAAAGGAATAAGGACTTGAGAAAGTCACTTTCCTTCTCTGACTCTGTTTTCTACTTTTAAAGTTACTGTGACTCCATGGTATATTTAAGGTGAATGTTTGGAGGACTATGTGTGAGGAACAACATGAATTTGTGTGTATTGTGGTGCCCTGACTTAGATAGCAGAGGATCTCTATGTGCACCAAATGGTCTAGAGAACTAGATGACTGACTTAAGGTCAAAAGCTAATGTCATATGCTGAATTCTGCCAAAAAGTAGTTTATATAATAGACAAATATCTATGAGGTAATGGCAATATGTTGGGTGTTTTGTCTGATACTGAAAAATGTTGTTCTGCCTTTTCAGTGGTGAAATGAGTTTTAGCACTGTTTTGAGAAATGAACACATTTTAATAAGATAATGCTATGAGAAGCCAGATTAAAAGTATCTCTTTTCTCATCCTGCAAATTAAGAACCTAGAAATAAGTGTCTTTATTAATCACTTGGGGATGGGGAGGACAAATAATAACATAGTAATGATACTACTGATAGACAGTCATGGATAATACGCTTCTACCAATGGACCTACAGCAAACACTGAAACACTCAATCCAAAATTCATGTTTTAATTTTGAAAATCATCCAAAAGAAAGTTGAGATGCAGATAACCTAAAAACATATAATTAAATGACAAGAGACCTCAGAGATTATCCAATTATCATTATCTCAATTACCACACTAAACTCCTAATTGGTCTAAGATCTCCACCTACCAACTAAAATCAACCTTTAAGAATTATAAATCAGACTATACTACAATCCTACTTCAAAGTTCTCAGGTGGCTTTCATTCTAATTGTAAATGCTCTGTAGCGACCTCTAGGATCCTACCTGATTTAGACTCTGTCCCTGTCTGCAAATTCACTTCCTATGACTTTCTCTTCACTTACTGGACTCAGCCACACAATCCTTATTTTTAACTCTAATAAAGTAAAACTCATTTCAACTCAGGCCTTTTATAATCTGTTATTTATGAAATGGTTTTCTCAAGATTTGCATGTGGTCATCTCCTTCCCATCATCCAAATTATCAAAAAAAGAAAAAACCCCAGATTTTATAGGGGACATGGTTTTTGATGCTTAGTTTGATGTGTATGGGGAAGAGTACATAGTATTTGGAGATATTAGGCTTAAATTGGTGGAATTCTGTGGTTATAGGGAAGCGTTCTTGAGATCATTAGCATACAGATAGGTATATAACCAGAGAAGGTTCAGAACATCTGGTCACCAAATCCAAATCCAGGAAGTCATCTTTGGCACACCCTCTTCCCCACACCTCTCCATACCATCTCAACAAAACTCTATTATTCCAATTATTCTCAATGATTAAATTATTCTAAGTTATTCCTAATTCTGTCCCATCTTCTACACCCCCAGTCATACTGAGGCTCAGGCCTTCATCCTTCCTCACTCAGATCACCACACAAAACTTTTAATCACCATCCTTATCTCCAGCTCAATGGCTCTTTAAGTCAACCAGGTCAGAACTTTGCTGAAAATATAAATTCTCAGGTCCCATTTCTGATATGTTGAATTAATTCAGGTAATTCTAAAACATGTAAAACTGAGAAGTCACTGTCCCACCCTCATCCCCTTAAATTAGTGGTCCTCAAACTTGGATGAACACATAATCACCTGTGAAATACTAAAACTATTAATAACCCAGGTTCTGAGTTGACTGATCTAAGAAAAACATGGGAGCTGTGAAATTAATGAGTGATTCCAATGTGTACCCAAGATTGAGACCCATTATCTTAGATACTATTTCCATAAAGACAGAGTGACGTACTTAAAATACAAATGGGACCTGTTTAAAGCTCTCAGTATTTCCAAGCATCTCAATATAACCCAATCAACCTACAGCCACTGATATCAGGAAAGTATCAAGTGTATTAGTTAAGAATGCTTCCTTAAGCTAAAAAGTGTGAGTTTATTGCAGCATGCCTACTTGCTAACTGTAAAACTCTAAGGAAGGTGATCCTTCAGTGCCACAATATCTATCTCATGGGATAATGAGGAGAACTGAGTGACTGAATACATGTAAATCTCATTAGAACAGCTCCTGTCATACAACAAAGCATTCAGCAAATGTGAGTTATTTAAAATTCCCAAGTATGGGCCATAATTTCCTACCATAGATTTCTAGGTTTTATCACTTATTATGCTATACAGATTATCTATTTGTAACTGCCAGTACTTTAGTAATAGCTATAATTCCCTTTAGCTATTAAAATAGTACCCCATAAGTAACAAATATCTGTTCAGTGAAACTGATAACAGCAGAAAACCCATATGGCCTCTTCACATTTTATCCCTGAATTTCTTTCTTATAGTAAAATGTAACCAATACTTCTGTATACATTTATGATGTCCAACCCCAACAGAAATACTCAAGGCAGAATGTGATCAACAGAACACCCTGGAACTTAAATTAAGTATTGGGTTTTGAAGCTTCTTAAGTACCAGGACTTCTACTACAGAGTCTCTCTCTTATTTGAGGTCGGAAAGCACAGGATATAGTAAATCCTATTAAAATCTTTATTTTTGTGTATAGGTGTTTTGTCTGCATGCATATCATGCACCACGTGCATGCAGTGCCTATGAAGGCCAGAAGAGGGTGTTAGATCCCCTGGCATTATAGACAGTTGTGAGATATCATGTAGGCCTCTGGAAGAGTAACCAGTACTCTTAAGTGCAGAGCTATCTCTCCAGCTTCCTAATTAAAAAAATAGAATTTCATACATCAGTACTCATTTATATCATTTCTACCCCTCTTGCTCCTCTTCCAACTTCCCCTTCCATGACCTGGGATACATTAAATATTGATAGTAATAATTCTACACAGTGCTATTATATGTCTTATTATATATATATATACATACATATATGCATTATATGTATCCTGTATTTTCAAGCATTCAAATTGGAATAACATTAAAAGCACTATGCATTAGCAAATTTTCTGGGAGAGGTTATTTGCCTTTGAATGGTTCTCAGAGGCTACTAAAGATACACATAATGGTTGCTTGATGTTCAGAATATGTAGCAAGAAGAATAAAGAGTGAAAAAGGTCTCAAACATCAAAGAAATAAGAAACTGTAACCCAAACCCACAGTACACATACCTTTAAAATACCATCCAAAGTACCCTTGTAGAGGTCCACATGCCCCACTATTGCCCTCTGATTCATCATCCGCGTTCTCACCACGTCAACCGGGTTAGATGCCAGAGCCCCAGCCAAACCACAGGTAAAGCTAGAACTAAAAGTGAGAACTAATTTAGGAAGATTATCTCCACTTCTATCATTTGTCCACTTAAACAGAATTTAGGCCAAACGTAAAAGCTCTAATAACTCAGATCCATTAGCTAAAACCTGATATCCCTTCATTATACAGAGAAAGAAAATCCTTTCTAATGAAAGGCTGTCCCTTCACATGGATTGCCCTTGGAAGGGAGATAGGTGAGATCTCCTGAGTAAACTATGGGCAGAGTGGGGGACGGTAAAAAGAAGGGGATGGGGGATGAGAACATGAGGGAGTGGGATTGTCAAGTTGGGGGGAGGGTGAGGTTGAAGAGCAAGGAAAGAAATATCTCAATAGAGGGAAACTGGATGTTACGGAAATTCCCAGGAGTCCAGAAGGATGACCCCAACGAAGACTCCTAACAATAGTGAAGAGGGTGCCTAAACTGGCCTTCTCCTGTAATCTCATCGGTGACTACCGTACTCCCATCATAGAACCTTCATCTAGTAACTGATGGAAGCAGAGCAGAGTTCCACATCCAAGTACCAGATCAAGCTATGGAGTCCAGTTAAAGAGAGGGAGGAGGGATTATGAGCAAGGGGGTCAAGGTCATGATGGGAAAACCCAGAGAGACAGCTGACCTAAACTTGCAGTTCAGACTCTAGACTCACAGCTGGGGATCCTGCATGGTACCGAACCAGGCCCTCTCTGGGTGGGCGACAGTTTTGTAGCCTGGCCTGTTTGTGGGACTCCAGCAGTATGACCAGGACCTATCCCTAGTGTATGAGCTGGTTTTTTGGAGCCCATTCCATATGGTAGGATGCCTTGCCCAGCCTTGATGCGGCTGGGGAGAGGGGTAGGACATGAGACACTTGGTTCTACCTCAATTGAATGTGCCAGGCTTTGATGACTCACCATGAGAGACCTTACTCTCCTGAGGAGTGGATGGGAGAGGGCTTGGGGGAGAGGGAAGAACTGTGGCTGGTATGTAAAATGAATAAAACAAAATAAAAAGAAAGGTTTTCCCTTTCATTTTCATTCTAAAACTTAGCCTCTTTTATAGAAGAGATAGTCCACAGACCTAACAACATTCCTAGGCAGGAAGTGTCCTGTACTATTGATAAGTTTCAAAAAATTTTCTGACCACAGCATCATATGCATAATGCATTTAAGTAGCAGAATATCACAGCGCTTACACGATAAAGAAAATGTAAGATGAGAGCAGAAATAAACTTCAACCAAAAATAATGTGCTTATAGGAAGTACGGGGTGATGTAACTAGGGTTGCAGCTCAGTTCACAGTGCTTGCCATCCCGAACCCCACGGAAACAGGTTGTGCTAGTGCACACTGCACATCTGTAATCCTAACACTCTGGAAGGAAAAACAGGACGATCGGAAATTCAAAGTCATCCTTGGCTACAGAGTGAATCTGAGGCCAGTCTGAGATATATGAGACCTTTCCCCTAAAGTCAGTAGGTAAATAAAGTACAAGCTGTTTAAGAATATCATACAAGACAGGTGGTGGTGGTACACACCTTTAATCCAAGCACTTGAGAGGCAGAGGTAGGAGGAACTCTGTGAGTTCAAGGCGTGGTCTACAGAGAAACCCTGTCTTGAAAAAAAAAAACCAAACAAAAAAGAGTATCACACAAACATATAATAGGTCTGTATACTATACACAGCTCCTAAGTGGCCAGGTATCCACAGCAGCTGAAGGTAAGTGTGGGTAATGGGTAGGGGAAATATAATCAGAGTACTTCACATGCATGTTATGAATATGCACATGTTATGCTATTACATAATACAAATGTAAGAAAATGTCATACTGCAACCAGGCGGTGGTGACACACACCTTTAATCCCAGCACTCAGGAGGCAGAGGCAGGCAGATCTCTGTGAGTTCAAGTTCAGCCTGGTCTACAGAGCTAGTTCCAGGACAGGCTCCAAAACCACAGAGAAACTCTATCTCAAAAAAAAAAGAAAAGGAAAGAAAGAAAGAAAGACATACTGAAACACATAATCTTCTAAAATGAATATATACTAATTAAATAATGATAAATGTAAATAATAGGAAATGTCACAATAAAATACACTATTTTATATAATTAATATATAGCAATAACTTTAAAAGTATCAAATATTCAGAAGCCTTGAAGTATTAGCGACAGGAGACAAGAATTAAGACCATGCATATCAGTTATAAATCTACCTGAGGACATTAGTAAAAGAGGCTTTTTATGTTCAAGCTGCCGAACCCAGAGAATGAATTAAACACTGCTCACTTACACAAAGTGGGTTAAAATGGTGTCTCCCAGCATTCCTGACAGTATCAGGTGCTTCTTGGTAATATCATAAACTGGCAACTCTACTCCCACCACGATGGCAGCACGTTGAGCAGTGGGGACCACGCCCTACAAAATCAAGGTGATATCAGACACCTGAGAAATACAGAGAGTGACATATATCTTAAAGTGAACAAAAATGAGTCGATGATGGAAATTGCCAGAAAAATAAACTCTGAAATGTATAGTTCTTTCTTTCAAATCAGTGACCAACACTGGGATGTTTCTAATTCCCAGTCCACATGCTGTACTGCAAATAAAAGCATTCATAACTTCTAATGCACAGGAGACAAAAGAAAAATTGATAAAATATGTTAAGTAAAACTTCACCATAATTAAACACTTGCAATTTAAAAGATACCATGAAGCGAGTGAGGAAATAACCCACACAATAGAGAAATACTTGAAAATCGTAAAGAATTCAGTCATTAGAAAAATGTACATCAAAACCACAATGATAGGCAGGCAGTGGTGGTGCGCACCTTTAATCCCACACTTGGGAGGCAGAGGCGGGTAGATCTCTAAATTTGAGGCCAGCCTAGTCTACAGAGTGAGTTCTGGGATATCCAGGGCTACAAAGAGAAACCCTGTAGGGAAAAAAAAACACTCACAATGACATGCCATTTTACACCTCAAGGGATGACTGCAGTCATTCTTTTAAGTAAAATAGGAAGTCTTGGTAAAGGTGTGAGGAAACTGGAGCCCTCACCACTGCTGATAAGTGGATAAAAGCATGGCAAACAATTTGTCATCTCCTCAAAGCATTAAACAGAAAATTACCAGATGACCTAGCAATTCCATTCATAGATATACACCCAAAAGAACTGAAGGCACATGTTTTTTGTTGTTTTTGTTTTCCAAGATAGGATTTCTCTGTGTAACCCTGGCTGTCCTGGAACTCACTCTGTAGACCAGGCTGACCTCAAACTCACAGAGATCCACCTGCCTCTGCCTCCCAAGTGCTGGTATTAAAGGTGTGCTCAGCCACTGCCTGGCCTGAAAACACATTTGCATGCAAAAATGTACATGGCAATGTTCATAGCAATAGCTAACATTTGACTGAAAAGCACAAAATAATCAAATGTTCATTAACTAATGAATAGATAAATGAAAAATATAGCATATGCCCAAAATGGAATTGTTATTTGGCCATAAAACGACGTGATATTCTGAGACTCAGGGCTTAGCTCAGTGACAGAGTATTTGCTTAGAAAGAGAGGAGGGAAGGAAGGAGAGGGAAGGAGAGTGTGCATATCTACTCCATGAAGATTAACATAATACAATTCCACTTGGATGAAATATGTGAAGTAAGCAAGTCTATATGGATGAAAAGAAGTGTAGTGGCTTTATAGAGTTCTGAGGATTGGGGCTGACAGGAATGACTATTAGATGGTAGGGAGTTGATTTTTAATAGTGAAATTTTCTCAACTTAGACAATAGTGATGGTGGCATAAATCTATGAAACCACTTGATAGAACTGTATATTTTAAAGATAAAAATTTTTAGAGTATGTGAATTTCCCTAAGAAAGCATTTAGGAGAAAATACAATCATAAAGGAAAAGTCACTGAAGAGGGCAGAGTTCAGTAGTAAGGTGGCAAGTCAGACATTTCCTTCTATAGGACTCCCAAAATAAGAAGTCGGGGCAACAGTGGGGAGCCTGTATGACGAGGACAGAAAGAGAACATGAGGAATCAAGAAAGAGGTGAAAAGACAGTCAGAAAGATGCAGAAATACAGAGCGGTGAGGCAAAGAGACCCAAGGAACAGTTTACAGCTCCAGCCCCATCAAGAGGGTGGGAAATTGACAAGCAGCAACCACGCATAAGCAGTAGAGTCCAGGCAGCCCAAGTAGCAGCTAAGTGGCAGTCCTATGAGCCTTAAATCAAACATGGAGATCTGGTGTGACGCTGAGTGTTCCTGGATTGCAGGCTAACAGGGGAGAAGCAGTTCACTGCATCACTCCCTGAATGTTGGGTGTAATAATCAGGTGCCATCTTGAGAGGGGGCCCATTGTTTGATTGAGCTATTCTACATATCTGAAAAAATGGGAAATCACAAGCTCAGGAGTAGGGATACCTAAGACACCTAGAGATACCCTGTCACAGTGTCTGGATGGAAGATGCGCATCAGAAGAAGTCACATAGAGAGAGAGAATTAGACACAGTCCTACTGATTTTTAGTGGAAGGAAATGTGAGGCATGGAAGATGAGGAAAGAATTTGCTCCCATCCTCTACAGTGAGCAGCGATTCCTGTCACCTATGGATTACATCAGAGACTGAGAACTCTAAACTCTTACAGAGGACCTGAGTTCAGTTCCTAGCACCTACATCAGGTAGATCACAACTGCCTGTCTTCCAATTCCAGAGGGATCCCCTACCTCTCTTTGATGTGGGGAGTCCCCTCTGTGTGCTGTGATTGCCATTGATGAATAAAGAGGCTGCCTTGGCCTGTTGATAGGGCAGAACTTAGGTAGGCATGGAAGACAGAACTGAATGCTGGGAGAGAGAAGGGCAGAGTAAGGGAGATGCCATGGATCTGCTACTGGAGATAGACGAGCTTTGTCAGTAAGCCACTACCACGCGGTGATACACAGATTAATAGAAATGGGCTAAATTAAGATGTAAGAGTTAGCTAATAAGAAGCTAGACCTAATGGGCCAAGCAGTGATTTAATTAATATAGTTTCTGTGTGGTTATTTTGGGGTTAAGCAAGACAGGCGGCCGGGACGAACAAGCGGGCCCTCCTCCTACACTACTTTAACCTCCAAAGGCATATGCACTCACGAACACATACCCATACATAAATATATACAAGTATACATAATTAAAATAATAGAAAAAATTTTAAAGATAAATAATCATGAATCCTTAGGAAAGAATAAATTTTGATAGAGCAGGTAAATAAGAATTAGGAGAGAAGAATCAAACACTATTAACTTTTTAAATGAGGCAATGACTAAGATTAAGAAGGGACAGAAAAGTATATATCTTTGCAACAACATTTTTTTTTCTTTTTGAGACAAGGTTTCTCTGTAGCTTTGGTGCCTGTCCTGGAACTAGCTCAACTCACAGAGATCCACCTGTCTCTGCCTCCCAAGTGCTGGGATTAAAAGCCATGTGCCACCACCACCCAGCTGCAATAACAATCTTAAATGCAAATGGTATTAAGTCACTACTTTAAAAGCCACAGACTGGCTATAAGAAATTAAAAGAATAACAACACTCACGGCCTAATTGTTTGTTATCTGTAAATGATTGCCTCATTAACAAAGACATACTGAGACTAAATGGAAAGTAACAAAAAATGATATTCAAAGCAAAGAGAATCTGAAAGCAAACAGAATTAGCTATTCCCATAGGTGACAAAGCTGATTTTAAAACAAAATTATTAAGAAAAACTAAAGACGGTCCCTTGATGCAAGGAGAACAGGAGAATTCTAGGGAGGAGGAAGTTGATTCCTCACACTCCTGCCCAGATCACCGAAGCAGCAGGATGTGATTTGCCTCACTGAAAAAGGTACTGAGCCACATGGCTAACATAGATCAGAAAAATGGGTTAATCAAGATGTGAGAGTTAGCTAATAAGTAGCCTGACCTAATGGGCCAATCAGCTTTATAACTTATAGAGATCTCTGAGTGATTTTCTTGGGGCTTGCCGGCTGTGGGAAACTGGCAGGACAGAAAACCCCAACAAGTGGCCCCCTCATGTTACAGTCCCTGAATGGGGTTATGGCTAAATAGTACACTACTTGTCTGGTATATACAAGGTTCAGAGTTCAATCTCTAGCAAAGAAAAGAAAAAGATGGTTATCACATATTAATAAATAGAATAATCAACCAAGAAAGTATAACAACTGTAGATATACATGCACCAAATAATGGTACAGACAATTTCATAAAGCAAACATGGCCAACATAAAGTTACAAGTAGGTACAGATACAATCATAGTGAGCGACTTCAGTAACTCTTTGCTACCACCGGATTTCATTTGGGCAAAAATATTAACAAACCAGCTAAACAACAATACATACAGAGAAATTCGACAAGATAGAAATACACATCTACAGAATATTCTTCCCAATGGCTGTATAATACTAACTCTTCTCAGTAGCCCACAGAACTTTCTACAAAATACATCATATTTTAGGACATATAAAAAGTTTAAGGGGGCCAGACATGGTAACACCACCTTTAAATTGCAGCACTCAGGAGGCAGAGGGAAGCAGATCTCTTAAGTTCAAGACCAACCTAGTCTACATAGCAAGTTGCAAGCCAGCCAGGGTTATATAGTTAGACCCCCATCTCAATTACAAACAAACAAACAAACAAAATATCCTGTGGAGCTGAAGATGGCTCAGCAGTTCAGAGTACTAGCTGTTCATCAACAGGATTAGGTTCAATTCCATCACCTATGTGACAACTCACAAGAATGTGTAACTCCAGTTCCAAGTATCCAATACCCTTGCCTGGCATCTGCAGGCACCAGGCACTATGTGGCAAATAGACATACATGCAGGGAAAATATCCATACAAATAAATACAGTTTTTTTTTTTTATTTTAGTAGGAGTTAGAGAGATGGTTCAGTGGCTAAGAGCATGCACTGTTGTTGCAGGGGACCCAAGTTTGATTCCCAACACCCACATCAGGTGGGTCAAAACTGCCTGTAACTCTAGTTCCAGGGTATCCATTGGAACAGTATCCAAGAGCACCTGTAAACACACACAGATACAAACAATTCAAAAATAGTAAAAATAATTTTTAAGTCTTAAGGGGCTGGGTAAATGGCTCAATCAATGAATTGTTTGCTATACAAGCATAGGACCTGAATTCAACTCTCAAAATCCACATTTTTTTTAAAAAGAGGGGTGTGGTGATGCATACTTGTAGTCTCAGTATTTAGGAGGAAGAGAGAAGACTCCTTCCAGTGAGGGGCCTTGTCTCAAAATAATGAAGTAGACAGCAGAATGACATCCAAATTGATTATTCTCTGTCACGCACACAAATGCCAACACACACACACACACACACACACACACACACACACACTATTAAACCAGAAAGGGGAT